GCCGCTGTACGCAAAGCGGTGAATGTTATCCTGTTCCCCCCTCCCCCCAAAGCAACGGAAGCGGAATATAACTGGGCGAAGCATCAGTGGCAGCGAGCGGCGGGTGGGAAGGGGCAGCGAGCCCTGAAAAGGCAGGCGGGCAGGGAGTCAGTGCTGCGCTCCCCGTCGCCCGAGAGCACGAGGCGTACAAGATCAAGCCGGTTCAGCTCGCCTATCTTTAAAACTTAGCGGCATCGCCAGATGAAGAATCACCGCTTGCTGCCACTCCTGACAAACGAAGCAAGAGTTACGAGCAGCGGGGGAGGGTTTTTCTTGTAAAGGGTGCCTTAAATTACGTTAAATTCCCAAACCTGGCCAGCAGGCAGAATAATTTCCAGAGTTCTGGTTAACAAGGAATGTTTTGTGGGATTTTAGCAGACACTCTCTCATATCCCCTGCCCCCCATGCCACAGATACCCTGGACAGCTTCCTCGGGATTTGGCACCTGGTGAACCTCCTCGGACTCGGTGGCGTTTGGAAGGACTGGATTTGGGTGTTTCAGCAACAGCTCTGAGATAGCCTAGTGCCTCCAGGGAGGTGAAAAGATCAGACTCTGTGGATGCTCCTGCCTTCGCAAGGCAGTACAATCCTCAAGCTTAATGGCATTTCCTGTGCTGCTCAGCAGTGGTCAGACCTCGGGATGAGGAGCCCACCCTCAGTGGTGGTGAGAGCTCCTGCCCCAGGGATGGCACCTGGGAGCTCTCCCCGTGGCCTGGACAGTAAATAACCTAGTGCATGGCAAGGGCCTCACTTAATCTGGTTGCATCCCGCCCCACCTCCTTTGCTCTGGGTTTCTCCCAGGAAAAGGAGACGGAGGGCAATCCACGGGCGAGACAGCTTCCCTGCCGGCAGCAGCACCCGCTGGGAGGAAGCTGATGGTGACGCCGGCGTGGGGTCTCCTGGAGGATATACCTGAGCCATCAGAAGCCAGTTCTCCGGTCCTGCCACTCACCCTGCCTGCAGCGGGACTGTGATCAGGTTCACACTCACTTAGGTCTAAAAATAATAGAAAGCGCTTGGCCCTTCCTCCCATCCCGGGGTAAAGCCAAACCAAACCAGGAATACGCCTACGTGCAGCTCGGATTTTGCTGGGGATGCAGAGCGGGGAGCAACGGCAAAGCTGATTGTCTCCACGTAACCAAAATAAAAAGGGACAAGACCAGCTCCATCTAAAGTGCTTTATGGCATCAAACTGACATCAAGTTACACGCTGAGATGATCACTTCATGTAAAAGAAGCGAAGGCCAACCCCACACAACTCGGTTGAGTCTCACACCCTTTGCCGGGGTATTCTGGCACCCCCAGCCAATACCGACCACTTTTGTACTTCCTCTGAGCCCACGCTCCACTTTCCTGGTCATTGAAACCCCTTCTGTTGGGCAGTGATAAAACCAGCATGGAAAAGCCAGAGAGAAGAAAGCCTGACTCCCCCCTCAGGAAGCACTTGCACTAACAGCTCCAGAGGCCCTTGCGGGGTCCTCTTCTCCCTCCAACCACATGGAATTTGCACGGACATCCTGCTCTGTGTCCCAGGAACCCAGTGCACAACAAAGGTGGTGGTTCTGGGGCTCCAAATGGGATCAAGGGGCTGGCGCTGGGAAGCAGGTACTGCACCAGGCTGGGCTGAAGAAATAACATGCTTTCAACAATGGCAGGATGGATGCCAGGCGTGGAACTGGAGCAAACGCAATTTTAAGAGCAGGAAGAGGAAAGGCTTTGGAGCTGCAAAGCTGAAACCAAACTCTAGCAGACAACCCTAGGCAACCTGCAGGGATCAGAGTGGGAATTCGACTATGGGAACCTGTGCCAAGCCTTTCCGAAGAAAACCCGAGAGGGTAAAAATAAAAGGCTGAAGAGATAAAAACAAGCCCTCACCTTCCTAAAGGTGAAAGAAGGAGGAAGCAGTGTGGGAGTAAAGTCTTCATTCCAAAAAAGTGAATCATAACAGTAACATACATCCCCCAGGGACAAAGGTCTGTCCACCAGAATTTAAGACACAAACAGCTTTGATCCGCAGCATTCCAGGTCAGTGTATTTCTGACTCACGCCCGTGGTCTCTTTGACAAGGAACCATGGGGACCTTAGGAGATCACTTAGGAAATACCATTCTCACCTGGGGCACCGACTGCTCTTTTTTGGTTTGCACAGGTCAGAAGAGATGGTCAGGCCGGGCAGACACTCAGCCCTGCGGCCCTAGGCCACGCGTCTCCCTCCTGATGCCCTTCTCGGAGCCACGGGACATCACCGTGTTGTGAATTCAAGATGTGTTGGGACTGGGAAAAAGACAGTGGGATGAAAAGAAAAGCTCCTGCTGGCAAAAGGCTGTTGCAGACTGAGGGGAACTTGCAGAAACGCCAGGGACCTGATCTCTGTTTACACAACAGTAAATGAGCCACGCACTGCTTTGGTTTCCAAAAATGTCAGCTTGGCACATTCGTTGTCGCAAAGGTACAAACAGCAGGGCAGGAGTTATCATGTGAAATCAGTGTTTTTCTTATAAAAAAGGTAACACCACAACACCAGCACCTGCCTCCTCCAGCTCCTTTCAGGTTCAGAAGAGCTGCCTGGATCTCCCTGGACAAACGTCGGGACCCTCACATCACTGCCAGATGCTTCACGTTTTGCTCTTTCCTTTGCCTCCAAGAGGTAGGAGAAAACCCAAACAAAATATTTAAGCAAGGAAACTCACTGATAGGAGGCATCTTGTCTGAAGTCACTGCTTCTGTTTCCAGACTTTTTTGGCCCAAAGATGCTCTGCCTTAAAGAAAGCTCTCTGTTGAAATTGTGTAACCCTGGGCATGTCACGGGCTGCTAAGCAGCACTGCCCCAAACCCTGGTTGTGTAGGAACCAGAGAGATCGGAACATTTGGTTTACCAAGCTCTTGGTAAGAAAGCAAAAAATAAAAAAAACGGGAGGGGAGGAAAAAAAAAAAACCAACAACAAACCACCCCTCAAATCCCCAGACAAAAGCAAAATAAAAAATAAAAATAAAAAAATAAACCCAAGTAAACTTCTTTTAAAAAAAGAACTCTTTCAAATAAACAGAAAGATAAATATTTTTGCAAGCCCTGCTTGCAATTAAGAACAAGCACCAAATAACATTAAAAAAAGCAAAATAAAAATAAATCTCAACCCTTTTTCCTTTCTTTCTTCCTTTTTTTTTTTGAGTCTCAATAGTTTAGAGAGCTTCAAAAGCAAGCAGGCTTAGGATTCCTGCACTGACCAGTCTAAGCATCCACCTTGCCACCAGTGCCGCTGACACGCGGCAGCGCCCAACTCTGCAGCCTGCGAGGAGAAGCCAGAGAGCAAACCGAAATCCAGCAACAGTGCAAGAAGAGACTTTTTTTTCCTTTAAAGAAAAACTGGTGGGAAAGGAAATGCACTTGACAGTTGCAAACTCTGAGCAAACCCTTGAGCTATTTTGAAGCCAACAGTGTCTTGTAACCAATCACAAATCCGCTCAGGCAATTCCCCTGAGAGGGTTTGGAAGAACAATAATTGGGGAAAAAAGTTTGGCTCGCTGCATTTCTTTTCATCTGCTGAACACCCCCCTGTATCCAACAGCTGTACAAACACCGCGCAGTCGGCACTGCAACAGCCACGCTCAGACCTAACACGGGGATACACGGACACCTTTCACCCCAGAGCCCACGGAAAATGGAAATGGACCTGTCACATGGGACCTCCGGGCCCATCCCACAGGAGTTTTGGCCACGAGAATGTATTTTCTCCCCAGAAATGGTTAGTAAGTGCACGGCATTGTGTAGGCATAGGAACTGGGAGCCGCCCCCCTGGAGCTCGCCCTGCTCACAGCGCGCAGTCCCCTGGCCTGCGGCACCTCACCACAGTGCCCCGAGATTGCTGCTGTCTCATTCTGCCTTAGAAACCAGCACGGGAAGCTGACAACATCCAGAGACATAGAAGCCCAGTGTTAACACAAAAAGTAGGGGAAGAAAGATACAAATAACAGAACAAAGGTCCCTAAAAGCAGATTTTCAGCCATCTCTCCAGCAAGCCATCAGGCTTGCAATGAAGGGGTGTCAAATGCAACTGGAGAACTGATCCTGGCAAAAAAAAGTATCTTTACTTGAGGGATGGGAAGGAGTGAGCTGGAGCTCAAAGAGATTGTGTAAAAAAGTGTCGCTTAGAGTTGTTCCCACTTGAACACCGTTCTGGCTCCCTGGGGTTGCGTTACGAGCCTACCGAATTTCTCTTTTCTGCACTGTTTTATATATACCCAAAGACGTTATGCTCAGTTCTGGAAACAGTTTGGCATTTAAATCCTCTGCCCCGTGGACATCTTTCAGAATTACTTCAAATTTGTTTCCTCTGCATTTTTGTTCTGAATGCTGTTACTGCTTCCTGGTGTAAGGTACCTTTCTGAAACCAAACAGTCCACACACCACGAGCCCAGAAGGGAAGTGCAAGTCAATGGCTTTACAACCGGAGCAGTAAGGGCAAGATATTTCATATCTACACGCTCTCTGAAAGTCATCGGGTATGATCGGTCCCCATGGGCTGAGCTAAGCTTGGCTGCAGAGACTGTAAGCACATCCCAGCGGATACATAGATATATCCCTGTATATACACAGTATATCTATATATGCCAGTGTGTATGCACCACTTGCAGAGTCCTAATCTTTTGCTAAATGGTTGGTTTTGGTTATGTTCCCCAGAAAAGGGGAAACTGAAGGCACAGACCCCTTAAGGCTATGTTCTTTCATCCTTGAGCAGTAAGAAGAGACAGAAAACATCAAACCAAATCCATTTAACCCAAGGTTTGCACAGAGAGACGGAACTATTTGCCGTGCAGGCAGCCTCTGTGGTGAGAATTCACGCAAAACCACAGGAGAGAGGCCCTTTCCCACCACTTAACAGACTTCATAACATGTTTTATTTAAAACCTCCAGATGCTTGTCAGATGTAGGCACCAGCAGTTTCTGCGGAGCGGGTGGGGAGATGTCCTCTGTACCAATGCCAAGAGGGACCGATGGAACCGTCCATGCTCAGCAGAAGATCTCCTCACCCTCTGGAGGTGCTTCTGATGAGTGAGAATCTGCAGCACAAGAAAGCCCAGGTGAGAATCACTACGGGAATACAGGAATACAGCAGGCTGAGCAGAACTCCACGCACATGGAAACCCCGCTCTCTGACCAATCAACTGGGCACCTTAAACGATGTCCAGTTCCCTGAGGAGCTACCATGAAGTTACATCTCGTAATCACTGAGCTTTCCTGTGCACAAGCTGGAAAACATCAGGGAATTAATATGGATAAGCTGGTCATCTGAGGGCATGAGATTGAATTTCATGTGGGTCAGAGGTTTGAGGTGAAGAACTGAGTCCTAAGGGGATGTAAAACTACCAGAGGAAAAACAAGCATGGTTTTTTTTCAGATCAAGAGACAAGACAGACCAATTAGAAGGGAAGGGATAGGCCACCAGAAGGGTTGTGGGTACCACTTCCAAGCTACAACAGAGTTTAAGCAGGCAGCGATGCCGCAGGGGCTGCAACAGTCAGGAGCACCCAGCAGAGCTCCTGAAAGAAGATACTCCAAAGCAGGACACTTTCCTCCTCGAAGCAGAGCAAGCTGGAAAATAAAGGGAGAATCCAGCCCGTGGAGGCTACTGAGTGTGGGACAGGGAAGGGAAGGAGCAGGGAGCAGAGCGTGTCCCTCTGACAATCCCAGGGGCTGCAGAAAAGCCCACACTTCAAGATAGGAACTCCACTCATCACAGCTGATCTTCTCCATCCCTGTGTTACCATCCACATTCAAGGGTAGATTTTGTGGTTTCCAGAAGTTTACTGGCTGGAGGGAAAAACCAGCTCACCCACCCTAAAAACTATGACCTCCCCTGACACTCACCAGACTGTTGGGAGCGATGTCCCCTGCCCTTTTTCTTCTTTTCCTTCTTGTCCTTTGGTTTGGCTAAACTGAAGAGGCGGGTAGGCAGCTGGGGCTGTTCCTCAGCCGCCTTGTTAGTCTGGTTTGTTGTGCTAAGCAAATGGAAAGTGCTTTTCTCTTTGTGTGTCCTTGAAAGGCTGTTCCTTTTGGGGGAGACAGACAGTTCTGCATCAAAGTGCCCTTGTTTAGGAAGGGAAGGGCTCTTCTGCTTGGAGGAGTCGTCGATGCTGGACTGGGAGGAGACTCTTGCAAGTTTCTCATGTAGATTTGAAACCTAAAAAGGAAGAGAAAAGTGTTTCATTGGGGCACGAAAGAGGCTGGCAGTGAACCTGGACAGTAAAGGTGTATCCCAGACCACTCAGAGAGAGAGGTTGTTCTTGTGAACATCCAGCCCACTCAGCAGCTACAAAGCAGTCCCCACCCAGGTAAAGCAATGACAGAAGCAGCCCTCCCTGCTTAAGACGAAGAAATGAGACATATAAAAAGCAACACTCCACTATCTTTTGCTCCTACATGTACTATGCTGTGTATCAACAAGCCAAGGGCAAATATTCTCTAAGATCTCAATACCAAGACTCACCCTGCACTGTTCGTGCACACAGACGGTGGCAAGAGGCCAAGGAGAAGTGTGCCTCTCCAGCAGGGGAATGCCAGCACACAGCACCGGAGCGGCATGCGTCAAAGGCAGCCTTCCCAAGCCAAAGATGAAAGCAAAAACATTTTTCCCCGATTCTTTTTTTTTTTCCCCTCCTCTAACAGCTGCCTCAGGATGTAATTGAGCCCGCACATTCAAAGGGAAGATCAAAACAACAGCTCAACAAAGCCTCACCTCTATTAATAGCTCCGAAATGTCAGTAAGGTACCTGCCTCAGAAAGGTGCTTCCTTCTCCCGATCCCCCAGGCCTCACAGCTATTTTACCTCTCAGCCTCTCCCATAGCATCCATGCCCCTCGTATGTCTATGTGTACTTGATGCTGGAACAGCTTCACTGGGTGCTCAGCAAACTCCTGCCCCAACCGGGAGTTGGGGTGGGAGCGAGCAAGCCCTCCTCTGATGATCTGCTTTTCAGAGCTCACTGCTGAGCTGTGCAATTAGTTCATTCAGGCACTCAAAATCACTTCCATTCCGCAATCCAGCATTTACAAACTGATTTTGCTACAGCTCTAAGCAAATTACATTCAGAATTAGTGAGTTACAAACAAACAAATGATCAACAATGGGCTTAAGGATCAAATTCAGCCCATGTTTTGCCAACGGATGCTTGCTCTCCGCAGCCAGACTGCTGCACAGTTATAAAAAATAACCCCCAGTTCGTTGAAAAATGCAGGACCTGCGTGTGGAATTTGCTTTCTGGTTGTGGGCAGCTAGACTCTAGAAGCCTCTTGCAGCAGAGCTGGGCACCTTTGCTCACTGAGCCACGACCAGGCTGCAGGTACCCAGTTCTCTTTAGGACAGGGACAATGCCCATCTCGTTGGTAGATACCGAGAATGCTTTTGGGGAGGTATGTAAGCTTACAAACAGCATTCCCCTGCAGTTATCAGCCTCACAAGTGGTTTTTATGACAGCTGGAGGGTGCCTGTAACCCACAGCGCTCAGGCTGTTTCTGAGGACATCTCATCTGCCTCACCGCTCCCCAAAGCTCAGCCTCCATGGGGTGAAGGCCAACGTCAAAGGCAGTATCGACCTCCCCGGATTGCCTAGGGCGTCTTCTCTGCCAGCCAGCCACCTCCACTCTGCCATCCACCAACAGACAGCACGGAAAAGCAAGCAGAGCTCAGCCTTTTGTAACCACCGACTGCCCAGGAACGGCCAAGTGTCCTGAATACACCATGGTGCATCGACACTGGCAATGCCTTAGCAGCTCCGGAGGTGCAAGAAACGCAGCCCTGCACATCACATGCAAGGAAAGAGCCAGTTTTAAATACCAGGCCCTGCAAGGCTAGGGCTGGGCTGGCATCACTCTTATCACTCCTGGCGTGCAGCTGGCCCAGGGGCTGTCTGGGAGCTCCCTGCAGGACACGGCTCCCCCAGCAGCCCAGCCGCTGGCACCATTTACCTGGTTGTGGTCAGGCTCCTGCCGCATTTGAGCTAATCGCTCCACGTCTTGCTTGAACTGTGCCTTCTCCCTCTCCAGCTGCTTCTGGGCTGTGCGAAGCCTCTCCAGGTCGAGCTGGTAGGAGGCTTTCTTCACCTGCAGTTCCTCTCGCTCCCGTTCAAGATCCTGCCAACCTCTCTGGACCTGCTCCTCTCGCTGGGCAAGGTGGGCCTCCTGCACTGCCAGCTCCTTCTCCCGGACTTCCCACTCCTTCTCTCTCCTTCGCCTCTCCTCCTGGTGCTGCGTCTGCTGCTTCTTCAGGTTGGCCAACTCCTGGCGCTGCTTCTCCAGGTTGCGCTGCTTCTCCTGCTCCAGGAGCGAGGTTGGTCGGAAGAAGCTCCGGGTCAGAGCCCTCTCACTCAGAGCCAGCTTCTGGTCCTCAATGTAGGTGTCCTGCTGTAACACGACGCCCTAGGAGAGAGGGGACACAAATCACTGCAGCACCCTCTTCAAGGACTGAGGCTCCATTCCTGAAAACCTCAGGGTGCTCCATCAAACCCCTTCTTTTCCCAACAAATCACAGCTCAGCACTGGTGCCTTATGGCCGAGCTACCAGAGGATGCTGGCTGAGATTCCCAAATTCAGGCGAGCACCGGTTCACCTAGGCAGTAGCTCGTTTCTACGACCAGCTGGCACACTGCCTGCAAGCCGGCTGTGGAGTATCCAGCCACGCAGGGATGTGACAGGGAAAGGGGATGTGGGGGGTGAAGCATGAGTGGCTGTTACTGCCTGGCGGGATGCGCAGGTCAGGCAAGCAGCATGCAGAAGCGGGATGAACGGCCAAGCCTACCTGCAAAGCACTGAGCAGCTTATGGAGGCTGGTAATGGTTTGGAGGACCTGCTGCGAGAAAACAAAAGCGTTGCTATTAGATCTCACTAGGTATGTGTAAAGCACCCTCCTCTTCCACTGTGACCCAGCAGTGGGTCTGACAAGCTGTACGGCCGTCCCTCTAGGCCTTCCTTTTTCTCGTTCTTCACTTGCAATGACTGCATCATCCCCCAGTAAACAGATACATCCCTTGGACATTGCTCAGAGGTGCCTGGCATCCTCCTCCTCACTCTCCTAGCCATCAGTGCCGCAGAGGAGGGAATGTCTGCAGAAGCACCGGATGGCACAGAACTTGTGGGAACTCCTGAGTTGTCTGTGCAAACCATTTCCCGCTGCATCAGCTCGCTCAAGAACAAGAATAATTGGGATGAAACCTGGCAGTTCACTTAAAAAGTTCAGGGAAAGAACTTTAAGGAGCAAAAAAAAAAAGGAAATCTTAAAATGAATGAGGACTATTTGTACTACTCCACCCCCGGCTGCCCCGTACAAGGTCATTAGAAAAACTGCAATACAGCAGGCACACAAGTACTATGGATGTGTTCGCGGAGGCTCTCCGAAAGGCAGGTAAACGCAAACACACTGTGCATCAATACAGAGCACGCGACTCCAGAGCGATACCCTATCCCTAAAAGTATTTTTAGCCTATCTAAAAATTTCTCTGCATCTCTCATATCTTACAATCATTTTTAAGATGAAAAACCACCTCAGTATTTACAACAGTGGTGTGATAGCCAGTATTGAGAGAACTGTTTCTTCATCCTGCCATTAATGCTAATTGGGAGTTATGAATGTGTATCAAAGGGAGAGCATAAATCTAATTGCCCCAATTCACTGCACCTGCAACATGAAATTAAACTCCCTCTGTCTGCAGATGCACAATAAATACAGCCCTGTGCATCCTAGTGGTAATTAACCCTTGCTGCCTGTAATCATCCTGCTGGCAAGCAGATGACAATCGGCGAATTCCCTGTCTGAACATCCAAGGTTAAACAAATAAATGACACAGTGGGTTCAGCTTAATGCATGTAAAAGTCTACATGTGCTCCAGCAAATTAAATGTATTTTCTTCTACATTATCACCTATTGAGACAAATTCACTTGCCACTTAAATGGAAGAAACAGCTGAGCAACAGCATCAATTCTTACCTCGTTATTCCGTTTCAACATGAACATCAGATTAGCATTTCCACCCTACGAAAGATCACGGATTTAATACGAGGACAAATGAGAAATCACAGCGAATGTGTTCTGAAGCTGAACTAACGACAGACACATTAAAGCCCCCCCCTTTATCTTCCACTGTGGGAGAACTCATGCATGTTTTTTAGGCAAGTTAAGAACATAAAATAAAATGCTAATTAGGTGTCATTCTGTAGTTATGTGACGGATCAATCTGCAGCAAGAAGAGGTGCAAGGTTATAGTTGACCTTATCATTTCAATAATGATGCATAATTAAACACATGCTTTAGCTGATCTGCAGACAGATGGCAGATAACCTGTGCCACAAAGGAATACAACTGATTTGCAATGGTTTTCAAGACAGGAGTTTAGCTACAGCAAAGTGGTTTTGGCTGCATACTTCCAATTTTAATTCATTTTTAACGTATTAGGATACATCTGTCAGGAAATTCAGGCATTTTTCAAGACCAGAATTGTCACCCTCTTGAACTCTGAACTCAGTGGCAGCAGACACATAAACCCAGTGATACCTTCTTTAAAATGCTGTCTGACTCTGTTCTCCGAAGGTCCTGAGCTTCGTCGCCTTCATCTTTCGCTCCACCTAAAGGAAGAAGCCAGCATTGACACTGGTTATTCAACATTTGAAGCCGTAGAGGAACTTGGTAATGTCTGAGAAATTGAACACAGGACACTCAGATGTTTCACACAAGGGAACACAGAGGTCCTGACATCTTCAACCAGATGCATTTGGTCCCTACATATACAGAACATATCAGCACCACCAGAAAAAGTGGATGTGAATTCAGATTAGCACTGACTTTGCTTTCAGACAACGTGCTGATAAATTAGGCACACTCCTATTAAGTGGTGCTGTGTCTAACCCCCACGCTGCTCTCTACTACCAAAGAACACTTGCTGAGAAGATGTGAGGCAGAACAGGAGCAGATAGAGAACAGTAACAGTATCATATCAGGGTATATTACAGCAAATAGTGTTCCCGTGCCTCTCGTGTGCAAGTGCAATTTACAGCTGGCTCAGATACTGCTGTGCAATGACCTGTGTAAAATCTATGCTAACAATTTGTCCTTAACCTTAGTTATCAGAAGCCTCTATCTTCAAACAGACACTTGACTTCTCTTTCTAACTTCCCTCTGGATGGCTCATATCAGTGCTCCTGAGCAGGACTGAACTGGCTGCAGGGCCCAGGGGGCTGCACCCCTCTGCTCACGGGCGGTGAAGGAGTCGCATGGCTCTTCGGCCCTCCACCCCTTGCCACGACTCCTGCGCTTCCCTTGCCAGCTGAGATGCAGCCCGGGGGAAACCCCACACCTGCAGCGGTAAGCTCCAACCTCCCTACTGCCACTCTTCTAAAGATACCCAACCTTGCACGCACCTGCAGCAACGTGAAGGACACGGTACCAGTGCAAAGGGCCTCTCCTCCCACCACCCCCAGGCAGGCTTTGCTATTAAAGGCTGACCCTCTAGTCCTCCTAACAGACCTTCTCTTGCACCACGTCCTGGGACCTTCCACCTCTTTGCAGGAGGAAACACTTCCCTTCTGCTTTGCTGGAGGGGAGCACGAAGGGGAGTCAGGCTATAAGCCTTGCCCAAGGTTGCACAGGTTGTGAACAGAAGAACTGGAGATAAAAGCCAGGTTTCATGCCTCCCGGCCTCCAGCTGAACAAACAGGCCTTGCATTCTTTCCCCAAATTCTCCCAAGACCCTACAACTATTGAATTACAATCTAATTCAGAAGAGGACATTTCCAGAGAAAACCTAGAGCTGGCCCACGAACAGCCTGAGGTCGTCCCATTCATCACTGCAACACAGAGGCACAACCCTAAACAAACCCCTCCAGTGTGAATGCATTTGTCATGATGATGACAAGGCCTGTGGAGGGCTTTGCAGCTTTCCAACAGAGCTGGGAAAACCTCTACATACTTCTCATGTCTGACTGTCTGGAGCGAACACTGCTCCTTTAATGCAGAAGGTCAGACGAGGCCCAGCGATGCCAGTGCTGAGACAGACACTAGCGCAGCAAAACTGGCTGTGTTGGGAGTATGGGTGAGACCACAGAGAGAGGAATTTGAGGACAGGGAAGGTTCTGATGACTAGGGCAACAAATGAGAGCGTTGGGAAGCCGCCAAATATGCAGCTGAAATAAATATTCACGCGTTTCTTTGGGAGAGACTTAATTGCAGGAATAACACATGCATGTGAAACACAAACGGACAGAGAGCAGAGCCGGGGGAGAAGGCGTCTGATTCAGCAATATCCTCATCCATTCGCATACGCAACAGCACTGGGCTCCTGCTGGAAGGCAACTGAAGAACGAAGAACAGTGCTGCAGATATTACAGCAATAACATGAAGAAACAAATCAGAGGAGGCCAAATGCTTTCATGTGGTCCGTAAGTAAAGTAGTAAGGATGATTTAGACAGAGCCCAGAGAGAGAGGAGTGAGGAGTTCAGATGTCTAATCCTTACGTAGCCACAGGTTCCCAGCTACCATCATTCCACCTGTACATAGGCTTTTTTCCTAATCTATTATTTAATCTATCAACTATTACTGCAGAGAAGTTGGGAAACCCCAATCACCAGCTGCAGGAGTCCTTCCGAAGCAAGAGAACATGACAACGTGTATTATTAACAAACGCTGATGTGCACACATGCAACTACTCACTCTTGGAGGCGTTCATCTGGTGGCTGTCAAATCCTCCAAAAGTTTCTGCCCTTCTAGGGAGAGAGATGGGGCCAACTCCTCCTTCTTGCTCCATGGCAGCGCTGCTGACCTGCTGTCCCAGGGCGGTGCCCAGGCTCCTGTTCACCAGGTCTTGCAGTAGTTCAACTGATAAAAAGCAACAATCTCTCTGTGAAAGACCACCTCAGACTTCTGAGTTATTTTCATCCCTGCTCAGCTAAGGTCAAAATTCACAGGCTTTACTGTACTAAGAAACAGTGTTTCTATGACGATGATATTAACGGTACAGATTTCCCCTGCGAAAACCCAAGTCTGTCTGGCCATTAACTCCAATTCCTTGAGCCCTGCACAGACTTACATCTCCCTCTCTTCCTCCAAGCAACCTGCATGAGCTCTGACAACAGCATTTTTATCCTTTCCAAATATCACACCAGAAAGTCGCCCGAGTTTCTATCTCCCCTTGCCTTTGTCAACAGACTTGCTTGTCCCTTGCAGGTACCACAAGTGCCTGCTGGAACCTGAGCCCTGCTCTCACACCTTGCTGAGACTGAAACACGGCAAAAGCCCGGATGGTCCAAATTTCAGCCAAGGATAAATCCTGCTCTGCTCCAGACCCCAGTGCAGATTCAGGGCATGATTGTTGTCTGTGCTGACTTCTTTTCTGCCTTCTTTCAACAGCCATCAATATCTGCTTCCTTTGCTGATCCTCATTACCTGGCCCTGAGACAACAGTGTGAGTAGCAGGATCTCCTGATCTATGCTGCTGTTCTGCCAGAGAAGACTTCCTTCCCCTGCCAACCTGGTGCTTGAGGGCTGATAGCTTCACTGAAGGTGGGTCTGTTGGTGAGTGTAATTAATGTGTCACCCTGGCTCGCTCACCTTCATTTATTGCAGTTTTCATGATGGCCTCTCCTTTCGGTGCCTCTTCTGTGTTGGCTCTGAAGAGCAGCCTGGAGCCCGGCATGTCCTCCTGCACAGAAGTGTCTGCCATGTCCCGGAAGATCTTAGTCTTCTCCTCCAGCAAGAGCAGGATCTGCTTGTCCTTCTGCTGAAGTTGTTCTGTGGGGGTGAACAGAAAACAAAAGCTTCAGGAGGGAAACGGAGCGATTCCTGAGATACTGGCCCCATCTAGTGGAACCTGACGATACAACCGTGCCCTGCGCACTCCCGCACGCCAACGGCACCCAGCAGGCTCAGAGAAACAGTGATGCCAGCACGCTGACGTGCAAACAAGGACTGCAGTTATTTGCAGGATGCAGGATTCTTACTCCTTTGAAAAAAGTCACAGTTCAACCACAAAACCCAACATAAAAATTCCTTAATTTTTTCAAAACCAACCTCCCAGCTCTGTCCCAGGCAGGTTTTTACCTTTCAGTCCTCTCACTTTTGCATCCAACACTTTCTTTTCAAACTCAGACTCACAAGGGACTCCTTCATCTTCATCCTTATCCCTGGACAAGAGACACGTCTCAATTATTACCAGAACACGACCATGCGCATCACCTGCCTTGCAAGAACAGCTTGGTAGCTTACATCGTGTTCATCGTGTCTTGAATGATCTGTATCCAGCCGTTACGCTCTTCTTTGGAGCTGGCATGGACTTCCACCATTTCGGGATCTTTTACACCCATACTGATCAGGAACAAACCCTTCTCTTCATGAGCTACTTCTCGTACGATCAGCTTCTTCAGAGAGATCACAGTGGATTTCTGGTCCTTCAGATGGAAAGAAAAAGGTGAGAAGGGTGAACGGTACTAGTTCCCAAATGCAAACCAGCACTGAGAAGGTCCCAATAACCATACCACTACCTCTCTCGGGCTGTAAACATTTCTGAACCTACTGATTAATTAAAAAAATAAATCATTTTCATCGGGTCGAAGAACAGGGAAGGGCTTGCTTTCCTCCAGTTCTGTAGGAAAAGCAATTTCACCTTGTTTCATTTCGACAAAGAATGAATTTAAAATTGACTTTATGGTTTTGCAAACTGTACTGTATTTTGCTCTAAGTCCAGCAGACCTTTGATCTCATCTCCTCCTGCCCACACTCTCTGTCATTAATATCACAGCTCCTTAAACTCAGTGCAGTTTGCTAGCGCCTGCATCACACACGCTGTCTTCCCAATCCCTCCCTAGGATGGAGTAACATCTGGTTTGCAAATCCCACAAAACTCGCGCTGTTCTCAGAAGCTCACAGCTGACTCCTACGATGGAGAAGACTCGTGTGTGAGATGATGTTCGCTGTGTGCTATGGCCTCTGTGTAGTCAGCCTGCTTGGCTAAAACGCCTCTGCTGTTGTGTCATCTGCATGAGTCAGCCCCTTGGTGCCTTGTACAGGATGTTACAGGGAGGTGACTTGGTAGCGGTTCACTAGCAGGACCTGTGTGCAAGCCAGCTCCCTCTGTGGGCACCGAGTCTGTGCAGGCCCTCGGTGGAGCTGGAATAACAAATTATCGAATGTTCAAAGAGTGGAAAGGGCAGAAGGTTTAGCCAGCCTAGACCATGCCTGCAAGGTACAGCCCCGGACTCACTCAGGTACCAGGTTTTCCCAGTGTGCCTACCCCTTTCCTGAGGCCTGCCTTCAAAAGCTGATGATTTGGTCTTGGGCATTACAACTCCATTCCTCTGACATTTATGTTCAAGCAGTTCTGTTGAATTTACTGCAGTGGCATTTCACCCCCCCTGCTCCCCACAGTAGTTCACAATGGATTAGGACATTTCCTTCTGCTAAGATTCATTTTTACAATGTTTGCATTTTCCCACTGCCCTCTCCCACCCCAATCACGGCTTCGATTTGCACAGACTGAAAAGGAGTAAGTGTATCAAGTGACAGGCAGGTTTTCAAGGCCAATTATCAGCTGCGCCAAGGCACCGCAGAAAGGAGAGGTGGGGCACGAAGACATATTTCCCTATCAAAAAGAATGGAGTCTGCTCAGCAAATGCAAATGTTATAAGCAAGAAAATTAAGTTGTTTAGCAGGCGATGGCTCGCTTCGCTGCACAGCACACATCAAGGGTGTCTCACACAGAAAAGGAAGGAGGAGAAAAGGTTGAAGCCTTACCAGTGAGGCAAAGACATACTTCTGGTCCTTTTCCTGAAGGAATACGAGCATGTCGGAGAGGAGAACAGCCTGGACTTCTGCAAAAGAGAAAGTAAACCAGTGCAGCATAACCACACAACCCACCTCGAAACAGATTTCGTTTAATAACACCAAGGCTGGGGAGTGACAGGGCTGGTTTTGAAAATCCTGGAAGCAGGCTCAAGCTCCCAGCTAGCAGGAGCAGGGGCAGCTCCTGGAGATGCCAGGTCTGGTTAGCTCTGAATCGACTTTGCGTCGAGCAGAACACAACAGCACCTGGGAAACCTGCAGGCTTTTCCTTCATCTGTGGGAGCAGGGGTGCTCCTCTCCAGCCACAAGCCTTTTAACAGTTAGAACATGGGCAAAACAGCAAAAGCTAGAGATGCTTACTGAATAGAAGTGCTGTTCTCTCAAACAATCAATATTTTAGCCCTCCAGCAAAATATCTACACAGGAAGTTTGGGTTTTATGGTTCTCTTGATGAGTGGTTTGCGGAGTGTAAATTATCGTGCAATAACAACATTTGTCAGCTGCAGTTTCTTTCCCAGAAAATACTGACTTCAAGAGCCACCACTCATTCTGCTCACAGAGAAACACAACTCTTGCAGACTCCAAGGGGAGCCGACAGAGCCTGTGTGAGACGTAGGACCTGGCTTTCTTTCATGGGAGAAGGAAGCACAGCATCAAGCCAGTAGAGGATTTTAAATCAGAATACAGTCTTTTCCCAGAGTACATGTACAGCCTTCCAAGTCTCCAAATGACATATCATAAAGTTGCACAGCAACTACACCAAGTATAATGCTCCACCCAGAGCCCTCAGTACAAAGAGTTTTTGTGTAATGTACTTGGGAAATCTTGTGACTGAGAGGAAGCAACCCAAAAAGTTAAATCATCCCGTGGGTAATTCCTTCCACTCTGTTTTGGGAGGACAGGATCCGTTCCAGACAAAAGAACCATCAAAGTTTAGTCAAAGCTGCAAAATGAACTCTGGGAGGTTTGGAAAAGTCGGCATTTGAGTCTGTTCTTCTCTATCATCAGTGCACTCTGCATGGGGGGAAATGCTGAAACCCTCTAAGAAAAGTTCTTCCTATACTTCTCTGTGCTCCACTTCAAATCCCACAAAACTGCCTGGATGTATGAACTAGCTACTGTCCCCCTGGGCTCCGCAGCTTGATGCTCCTGCTTTTGCTGTGAGCCTGCACTACAGACAGAGGTGTGTTTATGCATTTCTATGACTCAGAAATGCAAATGCAGCCTGTATTTATCACAAGATGTCACAACAGAAACATAACTTGCTTCATCCACCATCTAAAGTCAATGGTAAATTCGGGTGAAATTACAGAAACCATCTGTAAAATACCTGTTTCCAAATCCTCATATGAGTCATACCCAATACAGAACCTTGCGTTGTCACTGCCTCCCTGCACAGCATGGCACCAGGCTACCAGTCCCCATTCATGCCCACGTACTCTGGTTCAATCAGCTGTGATGCTGCAGTGGGGGAAGGAAAGCCCAGCCCTCCTGCCAAGCCTGAGACACAGCCCTGTCTGCTCTTAGGGCTACCGTGGTCTCAGCTGAAGGCTGGGGGGTTTAGTGTTTAATTCGGTAGAGAACTCCAGCGCTCAGCAGAGCACAGCACCTTAGAAGAACTATTTCCACCTGGTAACAAATAAAAAGCAAACCACAAAAACACTGCAAACAAGGAGGCAGCTGCAGGGCCACCAGAGCCTCTCCTGAACAGTGTGCGTCAGCAGCTCAAGAGGTTCAGGAGCAACAAATGCCTGGGACAGCTCTCCGGAGTCCCTGTGAAACTGGGATGGTAATGTGGAGCCTGGGCCCTGCTGCAGACCTCAGAGCAAAGGAAAGGCAGTGCGGCTGGTGGGCAGAGGCACCGGGAAGCTGAGGTTGGGTTTCAGATTCAGCGAGCATGATTCCCGGAACTGCTGCACATGTACGTCATGGGGCGGAGATCTGACAGTGCTGTGGGCAACTGCAGCCCCAACGTGTTCTCCTGGCCCAAAGGATCCCACAGCAACTCTGCTGCTTGGCTGATGCACCGAGGTGTCACTGCAACCCAAGAGTTCAGCAAAGCAGGAAAAGCCACTATCACCCGGGAAACATGATGAGGAATCGGAAATGATGCTATAGGAAGTGAGCGTACAGGAAGGAGGAAGCTGATGTCAAAATCTCTCAGAGCAGAAGTAAATAAAGGCTGGAGATACCAATCTGAGGACTAATCCTACATCCAGAGAGGGAGAGCTGTATTCTCCCCCCTGGCAGAAGCGGGGACAGTCTTACCTTTTAATCGGCCAGCCGCACTTTTTAGTGAAACAGGCCCATCTCGGATGAGCTTCCGATGCCTCAAGTCCTCTCTTGCAAACATCTGGCCACTCTTCATCCTCATGATGGACTTGCTATCCGTCCGGTTGTAAATCTCACCAAGACGCATCTTCTTCTCGTAATTGCTGACTTTGCTGTTGACTGCAGCAATCACATCTTTAACAAGGTTTAACGACTGAGTCAAATCTTCATGTTCCACTTCATTTTCTTTGAAAAGAAAGAGAAACACTTTGATTTCACTTCATCCTTGTGGACTCTAACTTCCTGATTTTACTTCCTTCCTTCCTCTTCTCCCTCCCAAATTCCTGCATTACAACTTTTTAATACTTTCTTGAGTCAGGCTGCATGTTTCCCCCTTAAGGAGAGTTTCACAAAACCTCTCACATATATGGTTCAGGTTGGAGACTATTCCAATATACTTTGTATATGAGGCAGTATAGATGAAATGCACAAATTAACCAAATATTTTAGCCAGTACCAAAAAAACCCAAAGCTGGGAGACTTTGGAGTCTATGCCCGTTGCTCCACAATTAGCTACCGACAGACTTGTAACTAAATCAAGGTACCCAAGGAAGTAATCCTAAATGGAGATATGAAACTGAGTTATCTCGTAACAGGGTTTGAGACAATAATGACTGGATTAGTTGGTCTATTCTAAGAAAATCTGCCTCAGCCAAAAAAATCCAAGACATTTACCCTGGAGGAACAAATACATCCTTAAGATAGAGGAACTGCTCCCTACCTTTGGTGTACTGCAGTATCCTTTGTAAAAGGACCGGGTACTTTGTGATCCTCTGTGTTACCAACAGGATACATTCAGAAATCCCAAGTCGCCTCACCAGGGAGCTGCTCATTTTTTTCTGAGGAACAAAGATAAAGATTTCAGTTCTGTAGCAAAACACGCACCAGAGGACATAACTTTTTCCATCAACAATGTCCGTTCGACCAGGTCCTACCTTGACGAATGCCTGAAACCGCTTGTCCTTTGAGTACAGGTCTTTGAAGTTATTTACTGCCTCATTGTGGTGCCCACAGAATTTGCCGTACGTTTTCTTCATGCGCTCGGCACTCTCACCGGAGAACTGCAAGACATGAGACACAGAGCTCCTGGTGTGACATCCCAGCAGTACCTGCCAGTCTCTCAAAAGAACCTGATGAAACCAAATTAGTCCAAAGCATCCTATACCAAACAAATCTCTAGAAAGTAAAGAGCTGAGTTTGGGACTTCCCTATGTTCACACTTACTTCAAAAGTTGAGATTCTACTCACAGGGCGTAGAAGCCAACAACAAAAAATTCAAGATAGACAAGAAGAAGGAGGGAGACAGCGGAGATAAAGAAAACTAAAATGATCCACCCAAAGTTAAATAGCAGGTCAGTATCTCAGCCAAGAAAGAAATTGGGCATATTTTGCTGCGGGCTACTGCGTACCCTCCAGGCTGTGATCAAACCATTCTGTGCCTGTCAGGGAATGCTTCTATCTCCCACAAAATAAACTGGATTAATTTTCATCATTAGACCTTCTGTGAAAGAGAACAAGTGGTGCAAAAAGCAAAGGCAGAGATTTTCACACGTGTGAAGAGTAAAGGTGCCATCAGTTGTGATTATCTAACAGGCATAAACAGGAGGGAACGAAGAGCACCTGGGCTCCAGCTGTGCTCTCAGAATTGCACGCATTTTCCAGTGCTTACTTGATTCACTAGGATGTCACCTATCCTCTTGATAACAAAGTTCTTTTCACTTCTGTCTGCCAATGACTCCTTCTTCCTTTCCAGAATCCGCTGGAAGAAGTGACTATGGATGTGCAGCAAGTTTTCCAGGCAGGGAAAGATCTTGTCCACGACTTGCTGATCATACTGCAGTTCCTTTAACATCCCTGCGCTGTATACATCGTTCATGATCTTCAGGGTGCGGACATGATGCATTTCCGTCTGCATTAGCTCTGTATAGGAGGAGGACAAGGTCAAAACCAAGGTCACTGGAGAGTAATGGGTGTACAGCACAAGGAAAAGCTGACAGTAGAAAGCTCCTCCATAACTGGGCTTCTCTAAGTGGCCTCAGACAATTTCATGTCAGGTATTGAAACGTCAGTCAACAGTTTTATGTGTGGGAGAAACAGGGGCAGAGGAGTCCCACAGTAAAGAGGTTTGGACACTGCTGCTGAGGTCTGAACCTTCAGCACTGTTATCTGCTCCCCCCTCACACCTCACTGCCAGTCTCAGCAAAGCGTGCTTTTGCCATACAGGATGGCTCTTGCATCCATCAGAAGTCTTCCTTGCTAGCTGCTCTGCTGGAACAGAGTTTAAATGTCACCTGAGACATCTGGGGAGAGGCAATTGCTGGTTTCTTTGATGGCTTCTGGATTGAGGAAAGGCAGAAAGGAAGCCTTCACACAATATATTACATTTCTAAGAACTTCAAGACTGAAACTTTGGCTTCTGAGGAAACCAAGTCAATGCTCCTATTCCCTAACAAAGCTTCCCAAATCCAGGCATGCAATTACACCAAGAAGTGATCTACAACAAATGAAAAGCTAAGATGCGAGTATCTCACCGTAAATGACATCTTGCCGTTTGACAACATCTTTGTTTTGCTGTTGTAGGAACTTGCTGTCCACTACTTGGCTCCAGGACTCTGCCTCCAGCTGCTTGGAATCTAATTCCAGATCTCCCATCAGCTGTCCTTCGTTCATGTCTGCACCTTCACAAAGCAATGTAAGACGTAGATAACTTGTCTCATTTGAGATTCCTGTCTATTAATTCAGGTTTAAGGCTTCCTCTGCCATACCACAGACAAAGCACACAATCTCCTTTACTGGCACAAAAACGACCATATGGAATTAGGCCACTTAAGGACCAGGTTATGAAAAGCATGTTGAATGGTTATTTGCACAAAATTAGTTTCCCATTTTCACACAGCCCGAATTCTAGCTTGGCTAAAAGATAACAGATTCTTTATCTGCAATGCAACAACGTCACAGATAACACCCCACAAAACCCAGTTTGTCTTCCTTCATTTACATCACTGAATGAGGGAACTTTGACCTGCGCGAAGCCTGTATTTTCAAGCTTAGAAAGCCAGAACTGAGGCAGGTAGAAGTGAACACATCTCTATCTTTCAGAAAGATTGCTCATTTGTGCAGGAACTGGGAAAGCTTGCTTCCATGAGCATGACCTCATTTAGTCCTTAATAAATTAAGACCATTCTGCTCTTTTCAGGTAAATATTGGCTAACTTGTAAAAAATACTGATTATATCCTAAAAAAGCACCATATACGAAATTATTTAAACTCAAAGTAATTTAAATGACTTCACTTTCAAACCTACAAAACTAAATAATATGTTTCTTCTTCCCCCACTCTGGGAAAAATAAAAAACATAAGACATCAGCATGAAAACGGTAACAGAGTCCAAAATCTGTGGTTGTATGAATGGGCCAGAGGTGCAGAATGAAAAGGAAATGTTTGTCCCTGAGCTAAATTCCAAGTAATTCAGCTGTAACTGAAACCTTCTAAACATTTTCCCACAATTCAACAAGCCAAAGAAATTACTATGGGGGGCTTTGTTTTAGGTTATCATACTAACATTCTAAGATTAAAGTAAATGCACTTTAATTGCCCATTAGAAAGGAAAACACTTGCTGAAATGCCAGAATGGATTTTCTACTCCTGGAAAGCAGCACTGAGATGTTCCTTTTGCTAGAAATGCCATGGGGATCTCTTACCTTCGTCGACCAGTGACTCCATGGATTCATTCACCCGGCTGATCTTATGTAAGGAGTCTGTTGACTGCGACAGGAATTTCCAAGTGTGTATTAAGCTGTCGTCGTTCCCCACTCTGCAGAAAAATAGAACACAGAATATCGTTTATGACATAAAACCCCAGCCAAATGTACTTTCAAATACACAGGAAAAAGGCATTTGAAATATGAGCTGAAAACCAAAGCAAGCGGCGCATGGTTATGTACGAAATGTACTTTTATTCATTGTTCTCAACAACTACCCAGTGGGGCTCAACAAGCTGTAAGATCTACAGGCCCGAGTGACAGTGCTTCTTCTATAAAGAATCCCACCTTGAGGCCTTATGGTTGGGATAACTCCTTTTCATGACCTTCCGCTTTACAGTTAGTTCCCATCCTCATTGCCCTTGGTGCAAGCAGTGCAAAAATGCAACACAAAAGGCTACCCAAGAGTCTTCATTGCTACCCGAGTCTTCATTGCTAGCTCTGAGAAAGGTCAGAAAATTGGACCAAAATAACATTTCACCATGAATAGGCAAGGGCATACAAACTGCCCAGAACGGGCCAGTCCATGGTGCTGCCCGCTAAGACTGCCCACTATGCACATAGTGTCAGAACCATAGATTAGATTTTCACCATCTTTTGTAATTAATAATGTACAATGCAGGCCTAAAACACCATGAAGACTGCAAGTCTCTGCCTCCACCTTTCCGTTATGGACACAAAAGTTAATACTATACCTGAGCTGACAATGTGTGCTTGCACAGTACCCTGCCCACGGCAAGGGAATTTCCTCCGGGAGCCCAGAGCACCTCTGTGAAGTGGCCTTGGATATAACCAGGCCAACTCAGATGCCTCTGAACTCCTGCCATGACTAAACTAACCCAGACAATCTGATTGTGCAGAAGACAACTGATGGTATCATATATAATATGGGTATTCCTGGTTTTGTGATCCTCTTTTCTACCTTGAACGCGAATTTGTTTTTAATGAGATCTGAATTCCTCTACGCTGGCAGCGCCAGATAATACACATACTCAGGCGTGCAGGGGAAAACCTTACCCTGCAATGTTCTGTATTGAGACACTTTTGGAGAGCGCTGTAGTCTGTTGTGATCTCCTGTTATTGAATATTGAGGTCACGGTGTTTTCATCAGGAGCAAGTATTGCAGAGCGAGGGCGCTCCTTCGGTTGTGAGCCTGGAAGGGAAGTGTCAGAGAAAAAAGTCAGCTCCTGCAACCATGCTGTTAACTGTGATGATGATGACTTAAAAGAAGCCACCTTCTAAAATTCACTCCTTTTTCTCTCTAGAGTCACCTCAGCTGTTAGAAGCAGTCGTATCAAGGAGAGAACATCGACCCCTGTGCAGAACTGACTGCATCGCACTATGTTTAAAAGATCTAGGTGGGATCTGAAAGTCCAGAGACCTAACACTTGGGAAACTGAATTCAATTTTATTTGCTAAATAATCACATGAAGCAATGTACTGTGTTGCTTTTTCATTTCCCTGGGCATGTAAGTATATACATCTTCCTGCTTCTGAGCAAACTTTTGAGATAGGTTTCTCTATCAGTGCGTACCACAGAGGAATGCTAATTCTGATCTCCTTACACTATCACATACCTTTAACTAATCTTTTTATATTAATTCCAATTATTCTCTTCTTCAGATGTACCTTTGCTTTCTGGAGTGACACCTCTGAATTTCATGACAAATAACACAGCAAGTACATCTGTATCATACAGTGGGGTTCCATACAGTGATCTCCAAGCTAACACTAAATAAGCTTATCAAATCATGGCACTACAAAATCCGTGTGAGCTATTTCACTCCTACTCTTTGCCCTCAGTCACACTGAGTAGCTCTGCAGTGCACTGGATATCTCAGTGCAGCCAGGAAGTTTGTCAGTATTGCTGCTATTCAAAATTAAACTTCCTGTTTTTACTACCTCAAAGCATAAGACTAATTAAAAAAAGCAACTTATTTTGAACAATCATTTTCTCCATTTGTAATCCTAACAATTTAAGTTCAGAATAGCAGATACAGACCATCACCAAAGCAGAGGGAAAGGTAGTTTTCTTACTTTTGTTTCTCATGGTTACTGTGGGTAACGAAGAGGTATCATGTGCCTGCAGCATCCCTCTCTGTGGCTGAAAGAAAAATGAAACTCACTGTAATTTCTTTCTCCCTTCTCCCATCAGGCTGTGCACATAACTAAAAGTAAGAAAGCTATGTTTTTTTCTGTGTCCTCTCAGAACAGATCAGTTCTAGGCTGTATGTGTATTTTATATACACATATATAGAGATACATATGCACGCACACACATGTGCACCCCTGCCCCCAGTTCCCATCAATGAAATGGGCAAAATAACAGATGGAGAAAAGTGCAGCAAACAGGAAAATGAGAAGAGAAAGTGCTGACAACACTGAAGAGAACTGAAAATCATAGTTGTATCAACACTGACTAGGTTAGAGTACCATACTGCAGAAGAGGTTGCTCACACTTGAGGCAAGCAGGAATTCTGCACGTTCCTCGCATAAACAACATGCACATTTAATAGTTTTCATTTTGCATTATATACACATCGTGCTGCATTACAGGATGCAGCTTCTGAGAATTAAAAGATAAGGCATTTAAGGGTGCTGGACACCCCTGAATTTTACCAGTGAAGGGTGGGGTTTTGTTAATTTTTAATCGAAGAATGGGACAGACCACCTCATCCTAAGGTCCCGGTGAACCGCAGGGAATTTGCTGCCAACAAACACCCGATGGCGCTGACCTGGAGCATTCAGAGTCCCAGGGACAACTACTGTATTAGCATGTGATTCTGGGGAATTTCAGCAGAGCCCAGACAAATTATTCACTATAGCACAGGGGCTGAAGTTCCTTCCAACAGCTGGTAACTTTAGGGCTTACAGTAAATGATGTTATAAATCTGCATGCTAAATTGTTTAAGCTGTTCTGTTTATTCAGTAGAGTAGATGAAAGCTCTTACCTTCATTTTGACCTTTGCACAAGAAGCAAAACTCTCCTTACAGCCTTTGTGGACAATTGCATTGCAGTCTGTCAAAAGCAAAACCACCAATGAATTAAACAAAAACCCACAGAAAACAGGCCAGTTTTTGCCATTTGTAATCTGAACTGTTATCTTGCACAACTGAGAATTACAATTTTCAGGCATCATTGTGGTTTACATGAGTAGCTACAGATACTGAGAGACAGGCTGCTTTCCTGGATAATTAGCCCTTTGTTAACAAGATTTCCTCATGGCATTTAACAGGAAATTCTGTTTAAAAATCGATGCAAGGTTGAGTCACCAGGGTCCTAATGGGTCTTAAATAAAAAAAAAAAAAAAAAAAAAAAAGAGAAACAAAAAAGGTGTGCTTAGTCCACTGAAAGAAAAGTAAGGTAGAAACCAGAAGCAGGAGACAGAAACCAAAAACAATTGTAGGGCCAATATTCTATCTGAAAACACAAACACTGTTCTTATCAAGACAAGGATTATGGGGTCCAAAAGACAGAGAAAAGGACAGGAAAAAAATTCATTTACATAAACTCAGACATAAAGCCAAGACCTACAGCACAGGAACCAGGTTCTACTGTACGACAGGAATATCAGAAAAAGTAACAGGAGCATCTGCCAGGGGACTGCGTCCACGAGACTGGGATTTTCTGCGGAAAACTAGACTGAAACCACTGCTTTGCATCGTGACCACAACATTTACCAGTGCAAAGAACGTCATGCTTTAGCATGTCTCTGCTGCGTATAAGCCGGAGACAAAACTGTCTTTTTCGGAATACCCTGTGTTTGCCCATGATCTCTGCCAGCAGATTTCTGGGAAACAAAGTTTTCACAGATGATTAAAACTGATTTTTTCATGATAATTGGGTTTGGAGTATTAACTGTTCTGACATGAAAGATCACGACTCAAATGCTCTCAGGTGAGATTCAGTAGCTTAGAGAAAAGCTGTTATTTCCACTCAATCATGAAACCCCACATTAACACAGATCATGAATTATATTTTAAGTGTAGGTTACGCTGTAAGCATACATTTTTGAAATATTTCTAGAAGAAACACGAAGGGAAAAAAATCCATGCCTAGAATCACAAAATATGCTCACATTTTTACAATTTCTAACATTTGGGCCTACTTAATAAAAGCCAGTAATTCTGGTATTTTGAGAGGTAAGGGTAAGGCCATAGGGCGTTGCTATTCTGATGATGTCCCACGATTTCCTGCGCAAGACAGAGACAGAAGAAAGAAACCTTTGCATGTTCTTGCAAAAACCCACAAGCAGTATCGTTTTTTCAGATCAAACAAGGAAGAGGGACAGGACCTGCTTCTGGTGCATGAAAAGAGATAGCGAGACAATAAGAATCATTAAATTCACACTCAAGCCTTGAAAGCCTGAAGGCAGCTCTTTACTATGTACCATTTTGCAATAGAGCATTGTGATTTTTTAGATTGAAAATGTGGTTGCAGGGACTTTATTCCTCCAGTTCAACTCCTCAGCAGGCAGGAAGTTCTTCCAACTCCTCTGTATCACTCGTATTAATAATTAAAACTCCAAAAAGCTTTTTTTCCTGCATCACTGATCATAAAAAAATAAAAAAAGACGAGGCAGCAAGCTATTAAAAATGAGGATTTTTTGCTTGCCCGTTTGTTTTAGAGCATGCTAAGTCATTCAGCATTGACTAGCTGTTTCAGTAAGCTGGGGGCATCACTGAAAAGTTGAGACATTGATTCAAAATGATCCAACACCTTAAAAAGCCATTAAGAAAAAGTCATCCACAGGCGAGAGAGCAGTGATGGTAGCAGTAAAGCACTGCTACTTCTGTAGGAAAAAATAGTCTACAACAGCAGAGGAACAACAGAGCCTCTGCTGCTGGTTAGCACTCATTTCCGAGGCATATGATGACTGATTTTAAGATGCGAGGAGCGAAAGGGTCACTCTCAGATGTGAGCTTACAAGCTGGGCCCTGACCAAACTTTCTTTGTGGCATTCGTTTTCTAATCAATACAGAAAACCTGCAACAATTTTCTGCTGTACCTAGAAAAATAAGGAAAGAATGTCTATGCTAAAACATATGGCATTGTTGGATTATTTTAACTCATTACAATACAGAGAGTTAAATTGGGATATATTTGATTTTCTAAGTGGCTTCAGAAGCTGTTAAGAAAGTCAGGTGGGGAAAGGGAGAGGATGCCTTTGAGAGCTTGTAATTGTTGATGTGTCAGCCTTTTCCCATCAGGCTGACACAGAGAGTGTCTCATGTCAACAACCTTCCTGAAATCTCTTCTCTTCCAGGAAAACTCAAAACTGCCATTCAGGATTCAGCTGGCTGCTCCTTCCGTTGCTCATTGGAGATGTTTTACACACTGCTCATCTACTAGAAGGAACAGAGAGACACAGAGCCTCCTGCTCCAGCCTGGGAGCAATTCCTGTACACACTTTGACTCTTCTCTAGGTTAGTGGAGTAGTAAAATGTTACTAATAGTGAGGAACGGAGAGCCCCGAGCTGCAGCGGGCAAAAGCCATTTTTGTCTGCACATTCTATGGCTTTGGGTGGCTGCGCAAAGCAGGCGCCATTCTGCTCCTGACCACAACAAACACTGTTGACCTTATCGAGCTACAGGCATGAGAAACCGTCTGACCAGAAAAGAGAACAAAATCACCGATCTGGCAGAAACCCTCCGCTGCGGTTCCCATACCGCCTGCGCTGCAGTGCACGTACTTCACACGCAAGCAGGTACTTGCCATTTGACCTGTGATGCAATTTCATGTATAAAGGGAGGAAGAGGGTTAGTGTTTCCTTTTTGTATCATGCCGTTCTCCCTGAGGGCTCACTGAAGCAGTGTTTCAGAGACCTAAACCAATACACTACAGATGGGTGGGACTTTTTTTTTCCTTATTGGAAATAAAAGCTATGATCCAAGCCAGCTTTCCCTGTCCTTCATCTGTCTTGCCCCATGCCATAACACACAGCTGGAGTAAGCAAAGTCCTCCAGTTGACTGATACATCCCAACAAGCAAGGGCAGAAAACACCGTGGGATGCTGCGACGTCTGAGCGTGGGCTGGGAAGGTGGTTGCAGGACACCTCCTTGCAGCCACGACTCATTTCACTCCAGCTTCCATAAGGCAACACGCTGCTCTATGGAATCACCATGTCCAAAGTATCCCTCCCATCCCACATCCTTAAGCAAGAGGAAAATAAAGCATAAGGTTCGCATTTCCCATGTCAGATTTAATGAAAACAAAAGGAATGTGGGGAAACCACCCCCACCCCCCCAACTTACTTGCACAGTAGTACGAATCCTTATTGAAAGGTTTCATACAGTGGTAACAGGTTGCTTGGGCGACAACAGAAGTCGCAGTGAAGAGATGTCCATTTAACATCTTCTTATCTTTTTCCTTCTCCTTGGAATCTTTGTCCTTCTCTTTACTCTTCTCTTTATCTTTCTCTTTTTCCTGCCGAGAGAAAATGAACAAATGCCTCGTTACTTCGCAGAGGTCTATTCTCTGGTTACAAATTCTTCAGTGTTTGCCTTTGGCACTATGACAATATCGATCAGCACACACCTTACCAACAGTCACGTGTCTGCACAGCTCTTAAAAAATCATCTTACAGCCCCCATGGATGTGGATTAACATACTATTGACTCTCAGAGCCTTCTGCACGGGTATCTCGCCAGCGGAGAGGAAACTGAGTCTGCTCTGAAGGCAGCTATTTTCTTCCACCTTTGTTCTGTATTTGCTTGGTTTAATGACTTACCTCTTTTCTCCTGGGTGCTCATCAATCTCTTCAGCGCTTTCAATGAATTGTGTTAAATGCAAACACCACGTGTAATGTGTATCAAACCTTCAACACAGTTAATTTTTAAGGCCAAGCTGTAAGACTCATCCTTTGCAACTACATTTTTAATGATAAACACAAGCTCCTCCTCAGTGCCTATTCAGCATCACTGCCAGAGTATTTCCACCTCCGTCTTCCTTCTGACTAGTAACTTTTTCAAGTTTCATGCAACTCAAGCAAATACGTGAAGCTCTCTGGGAAAATGGATCTTTCACAAACCCTCGAAATATGGCACCACAGAAAGGCTGAGGAACAGCAGCAACACCATAAAAGATCATGTCACCTCCTGGAAGCCACGGCTCAACCTTCTGGGCTACTCAGTTTTGGAAAACCGACAAGCACAGCTAGCTTCTCCAACTTTTAGCAGAGTTTTTGCTTACCTTTCTATCATACCTGAGACACAAAATTTTAAATACTAAAAATTGGAAACATTTTTCCCTGCAGCTTTTAATGGATTGGGAATTCTCCCAAACAATTTTTAAAGGAAACTCCAAAGAAAACCTCCAAATTTGAATTTTAGCAACTCCTTGTCTATGTACCACGCTACAAAATGTTGACCACACAATGCAGCCCCAGATCTGTATTTTAACTGTTACTGCAGATTTCATGGCATCTAAAAGAGAAGCTTAACCAGAAATTGGTAAAGGCTTCTGTAAGCTTATCTTTGCATTTGTTATTTATATGCCACGCGCCCTTTGCTAAACATTGTCCCAGCCCAGTATCAGAGAGCTGCAGAGCAGCCCACGTGACCAACTGCCCTGAAGTGGTTAAAAGAGGTACTGAGCTCTGCAGCTTCATCAGAGAAACTTTCGAGCCTTTGATGACACGCTCAAATAATTAGTAACTTAGCCTAAGGTCTCCCCTCTCCCAACATAATGCCCAGGCAAAATGCCAGCATTCGAGTCTCTCCCTGCAAAGCCTCATAAACAGAAACCTATTTAGTAGCCCCAAATGCTATTCTGTTCTGCAAATAAGCAAAACCAGGAGCGTTACCATATGGAATAATCCTGCCTGAAGCAGAAAACCTGCCAGGAAGAGTCTGCTTTGCAGCACATCTCTGCCTCCTTTGAGCCATCAGCTCAGATCACCAAAACTCTGCAGTTTAGTCCTCGGCTGATGGTACCAATCTGATGTCTGGAGTTTTGCTCTATTGCCAGGATTTGTGAAGCTCCAGGAGAAAAGATCAGCCTACACTGAAGGCAGATCTTGTGACTCTCGTGCTTGAAATCCTGAAAGGAGATTCACCATCCTATACTTTAAATGTACCTGATATTTACTGCAAAGCCTAGTAATTCTAGAGCCTGGAATAATACCCTGTCTTCATAAAAATAATTGTAAAAAACGTTGTAATTAAAGCTGAACGACCCCAGGAAAAACAGGAAATGGGTGCACCACTTTCAAGAAGAAAGCAGCAAACGTCGTACAGGGGATGCGAGCCACACTACTGATCTCAAAATGAGATACGGGTTTTTTTTGCTGTGACAGTTACTGGAACCTTTTTTTTAAAAAAAAAAAAAAAAAAAAAAGGATTGTAAAAACAAAACCATTTTCCTGCACTATCAGAGCTGCCAGTGTGACCTGAAGCACAGCTTGACAGCTGAACCTGCACCAACACGTATTATCACACACGACAGGCACCGCAGCCCAAAATAACAGACCGTGCGCTACAGAGCCGACCCCCTCCAAAATAACAACAAAGCTCTTACCTCCCAGTTCTTAAGTCCTACTAGCTTCACTGTTATTTGAGGAACTTCGGCAAATTTATTCCATTTTATCGACATCCTTCCCCCCGGGGGCAGGACAGCTGCTCCCCACCAGCACTAGCCCATCACGATGGCCCAAGAGCAGCCAGGATGGCCGGCCGGGGACGGCAGTCAGTGAAGAGTTGAGCAAAAGAGGGAGGGCGGGACAATTGCTGTTAACTTCCTTTAAGATGATTTTAGCTACTTTGCTATTGCTTACATATTGCCCTACCCTAGCTTCCACTGCTAAAAAACAATACTAAAAAAACACAGGCAGGAAAGCATGGGATTGATATTTTAGAAGTCACAAGTCAGTAAGAGACCACCCATTTAAAAGGCAGAGGGTGGTAAATCAAACCCCCTGTGATACAGAAAAAGTGAATTTTAACATACCTCAGTGTATGCAGTACCTCAGTAAACAGTGCTGCAGAAGATTTCCCAGAGAGAAAGGTTTCATGTGTCTGTTCTCCTCCTGCTCTACAGGTGACAAATACTCCCTGTCTCCTAGTCCTTGCAAACACAACTCTAACTACACACACGGAGAGCCTGCTGGTGGTCTAGCACTGCCTAAACTGCGCAAGTCAAGGAAAAAGAGAAATTACTCATGCTCATTTTACGTCGTCACTTCCCAGAAATTCTGGACCAAAATGAAGAAAATGAGTATTTCTCATGCCTCAGAGACATAGTATATTTTAGACTTCATAAACAGGAATCAGTGCACGCTACCGATTTCAAGCGATTCGCTGACTAATCCCCAGATAACACAAAGTACATGCCATACATGGGTAAATTCACACAAAGTTCTGTCAGTATCTCCTACAGTTCATACTCCCAACACCCTTTTATTTTTAGGGTTTTTTTTTTTTTTTACATAATTATTTACACCATTGTAAGAAAGAGCCATTGCCATGAGTAGGCTCAGATATACTTTATTTTGCAGTTCATCTTAGAAAAAGATAATTTCTAAAGGTTTGCAGAAAAGCAAAACCTAGTTAGAAAGAAGTTAAAGCCTCTCTCCCTCCTGACAGCCCAGACAGCAGCAGAAACCAACTCTTCCTGTCCAACTTCCTCTTTCAAGGTTTGTTGTTTTAATTTTAACTCTTGCCGGTTTTCATTGGACAAAATGTTTCTGAGAAATCAGTGTTCCCAAGAATTTTTAGGTCAAATTATTTAAATGCACACTTGAAGGTCTCAAAAAATGTATGTAATGCAAACATTCCACTGTAAGCAGAAGAGAAATTGTAATTTGAATAGTATTATGGCTTTTTAATTAATAAAAACATCAAAACTGCTACAAGCTGGAAGTTTTGTTGTGCGTATTGTTGCTGAGATTTTGGAGCAATTCTTTATCAACAATTTCAGACACAATCACAAAATAAGTGAAATCAGACTGCACCTATTTAACAACAGCAGAGCAAATATCTCAAAGCATTTCTGTCGTATTTTCTTACCCGTCCAACCCAGATCTCTTACATATGTCCAGCTTTTCCTTAGAGACTGTACACCCATAGTGCAAGAACCAGTTAAAGAATTTCCAGTCGGGTTCACAGGCTGTGCAACACACTCCACAACTTCTCACTGGCGGTTTGCACAGAGGTTTCTATGCAAACAGATTTCTTTTTATGACATTGATGTTTGCAGCAGAGAAGAGCATTGTCTGAAAGCTGCTCAGCAGCAGCTCTGAGCCGCTGCTACCTGCAGCTTGCATCTTTAAAGGCAGAGCCATTAAAAGGAATTGTGTGTTAGGATGACTAATCTCACTACAGCTAGTACTTCATTGCAAAGGTGATGCAATCAACAAAGAACACGTCTCAAAACGTGCAATGTGCCAGTACAGCCCAGCTAGAGGAACACTCGTGCTGAAACATCAAGTGCTTATGTTGGCAAAGGCTAAAATCAAGTTTACTTGTACAGGTGAAATGTCACTCGTCTCATACCTCTATGCTTCAGCCTTACTCTGTAATAGGCACAATTCTCCTTATGCCACGTTTTGTTTGCTGTTTGTTGTTCACACACTCATCGCAATATGTAATTGTGTGTCTCAGGGGCCTTCCAACAGTATTTACCAACATATTAGCTACACATCACCTAATATATAGAAATAATACACATACAATATATGTGTGTGTATATATATATATGTATATAGATAATATACATTGCCTACTGAGGTAGGGTGCTCATAGTGTCTGGTCAAGACATGATAAACCAGGGAAAGATTCAAGTAAAAAATCCAACCCATTCAAAAAACCCCCAGACATATATTAATGCTCAGGGGACAATCTAAGGCAACAACAGCCCACTTGTGTGAAGTATTCAGCATTAATGTAATTATTTCTGTAACCAATGCTGTTCCCAGGAAATTCAGCTGTGCTGAGCAGTGCTTAACCTTCAGCAAATTAAATCTCTGGGTTTCAAGGATGGAAAAATGGGGAAAATATAAACACTGGACATCACTAAAGGTCATGGTTTGGGCAACTTCTGCAGCAGTGCACAGGAACTTTGTAGCAAAGGTAAAAATAAAAGGGAAACGCCATGTAGCCTTCGGCAGCCAGTCCATTCTTACAGCTCCTGTCCTCATTTTATTAAACACTGTAAAAATTAGACCCATCGATCACTGCAAAGCCGTAACTCATGCAGAAGCACAACCTCTTCCCTGTAATAAATGAAGCTTCGTTCTGAGGGGAAAAGCAGCAAAAACATTGCACAGGAAACCTCATCTCAGATCCCTTTCAATTTTGGGGTGTTAAAATTTCCCTTGTTGCCATTCCCTATAACCCCACAGATAACTCTCCCCTCTCAAAAGGAAGAAAGGAAGAAGAAAGAAAGTCAGGCAAAGACATAAATACTACCCTGTGAAAACACACTGAAATACAGGATTCTTTTCTGCTACCTGTGGATACTTCCACGGTCGTATAAATCACAAGACGCACTTACTTTGCTCTTCTTGCTGCTGGACATTTTATTCTTGAGGTAGCTGAAGGTACGACTCACTTTTGTTCCACCTTTACCAGTGGGGACACTGCTGCTCTCTTCAGATATGCTAAAATCAAAAAAGAAGGAGGTTGCCTTTATTTCTTTTCCCTCCCAAAGCATCTACTAAATGGATAGATTCTTTTTTAAAGAAAAAATACATTTATTATGCAATAGTCGCAAGTTGCTTTATGGCGTTACACCAGGGAAGACAAAGTGAGGACAAAAAGCCAATCCAGTAGTTTGTCGTATGTTTCAAAGAATCCTTTATCTGTTTTTAAACCATCTCCATTCTCAAACCATGCCATAGCACCCTCTGCTGCTCCCGTGGCTGAATAACCACTAACCAGCTCGCAGCATCTGCACATCTTCACGGCCAATATTGCAGATACACAGTCAGTCTTGGCATTTAATCACTGATTATTTCAGACAGAAAGGGATAGACACGCGCACATCCTTTAAAGAGCAATCTCCTTCCAGAGAAAGGCATCTAATAAGCTTGGAAAAGACAGTGAGTGTCTTTAACAGAAACTACACTGCCTGCCAAGCCTCCCCTGTGAAATGAGAATACCAATAGTAAGTAATAAGCAGCAGTGGTTATTTGTATTAAATTAGGCATTTCTGGGACACCAGATATTTTCTGCCAGTCTCTACAACCACACGCTTATGACTTCTTCAGCGTCTATGGAAGAATAAGAAATTTCAGAGGAAACTATTATTGCATTAAAGAGGACAGTCTGTTGTACAACGCAAACCAAAAGCGGAATGACAGAAAGACAAATGAAATCAAGGAGAAGAAAACAGCAGCGAGCAGAGGTGAAGAGCCCCTGGCCATGAAATAAAGCCAAAGCTATCAGAGCAACACAGACACCCAGCTCCTTCGGTGCCACAAACGTCCTTCCTCCAGGGAAGAGCTTTTAAAGCCAGCACCCACCAGAAAGATTATCTTCTCTCTACAGCATGCAAAGATGAAAAGTAACGTACAAAGACATGATTGTTTTGACCTTTGTTACAGAAATCCACACAGAATTAACCGAAGGCAGGAACAACTGCTTTTAGTGTAGAACACAACTCAGTGTAAACTGATAATTTTCAATAATAGGTAATATATGTAATTAGCTATGAATAAACACAAAGCCTTGTTAGAGATCAGACCTAGAACAGAGTTTCATATTCTGTGATATAAAATATTCTTGTGCCTTTAGACATACGGGACTGATTTGCACAAGCTTGACAACTTGTGGTTTCAGGTGATGCGCACTGGTGCCAGGAAGGCTTCTGGGTACCCAAACCAGAGCCCACGGCAGGGGTCCCACCAGAAGAGACGTGGTACCCCTCGAATAACGTACCTCTGAACCGAGGAACCCGTGGGGCTGCCGAACGCCTGCGTACCTGGAAAAGAACAGAGGGGCGGGGGGTGTGACATGTTAGACTGCAGTCTTAGCTGACTGATTTTAAAAACGTAGTTTGTATACTTAGACGGTTCAAGAGGAAGGGGAAATGCTTTCTAGAAGTGAGTCTTTAGAACAGGTTTCATGTGCTTGGGATAAAGCCTGTTCCTTGTATCCTTAGGTGCTCTCAAGTTAGATGCTGAGGTGAACTCCAGTGTTTTTATCGTTTTTCAGCTATTAAGCTGAAATCCGTTAAATTTGCTGGTAAATCAGGGTATCTGAATCAGAGCTGCCAATTCAGTGACAATAGGTATAAATGAGAATTATTCTGCCACAATGCTTTTATTTATACACCACTAGAAAGACTCTACTGTACCACACATCCGGGCTTCATGTTTAAAACTTTTCTGCTTGATAAAATTATAGTTCATTTTCCCATCAAAATCCTGAAGCACTTCATAAAGAGTAAGGGAAACAAGGGAAGCCTTATTCTGTTTTCCACGAAACGTTACCAGCCTAGGGCTTAGTCACACAACACTGTGCTTGAGGAAAGTCTGACTTTCGACATGAAGCTGAAGCCCTGCCAAGGACATGAATTCTCTGTATACTGCAAGAAACCTGCTTGCACAATGCATTTGGAGCAGATTAGGTAGCTGATACCATTTACCAGAACCATCAAGGAATACTGAAAAATCAGGATGAAATGATCCAGAGGGAGGGCTCCCTCCAGAGTAACTGGGCTTGTCAGCACTCCAAAAAAACCCTCACTACAAGCACTGTTTGCAGGCCTATCCGAAGTTCAAGAAGCAGCGTGACTGATCATCTTATTAGGCTTCTGCATATATGTTGTAAGGAAAACAGTACTTTGGCTTCAAATTCTGTTAACATATTAAAGCTACGGGTGAATGCAAAAGAACCACTTGACATCAGAGGCAAAGACAGTCCTCTATCCAAAGGCACTAAGTGCATTTGGAAAAGCAGTGCATACCATGTTATGCCTTATGATGCTAAAATACACATTTTCCTAAGCCCTGATTCAAGTGTCAAACAGCCCAAGACAGAAATATCCCTTTTTTCATATTGAGAAACTAAAATACAGGCCTACTGTATCACCTAATCCTGGCCTGGAGATCTGTTAGTATCTCCCTTGCAAAATTTCTCATTGAATTAGTGAGAATCCCAAATACATCAAAGTCAGCAATAATGTAACATATATCAAATGAAATCCACTATTCAATTTCCTGACTGTGCTGGGTTTTTATATAATATGCACTATCTAAGCACCTACTAAGATCACAGATGTAATTTACAGACTCCCAACTCCCCAGTTAACGCCTCTGTGACTCTGGTTCACATTTCAGCTCTACTTTGCTTTTAACACGGGTGAAGCCTCCTTAGTCTTTCCCTTTTTTAATAGATTTATCAAATTAACTGCATTTAAGTATTTCACAAACCTTTCTGGTTCTCTGCAGTTAACATAAGAAATATGAACAGATGCTGAATCAAAGAGCTGTAATAATTTGATATTCGTGACTGTTTTTCAGCATCTTGGGAAAGTACATTGCATGGGAACTTCAATAATGTACTTTTTATCTTTTACTGCAATAGTGTTTTGTCTTAGAAATGGGGGATTCTTGACACTCGTAGGCAAAATGGATCCAGACAAAAATCAAGATGAAAGCGTACTTATGGTTCCAGAATTATGGTTACAATACAACACCATACAATCAACACTCCGCTGCAAGCTATAAAGCCCATGAAGATAGGCAAAGAAAATCACACATTTTCCCACCTTTAGGGCTTTTTTTTTGAAGTAGATGAGGGTAAGGAAGGTTAGTTTCTATAATTTTTTTTTTTTTTTTTTTTTTTTTACTTCCTATCATGACCAGGTTCAAAACTGAAATGCTAAAACTGACTTCACAACCCTCAAAGCAAGTTCGTTTTGATCAAAGGCCAGGACTGCTATCTATGTCCAATGAATCTGGGCTAGCAGCCAAATTTTGGTGTACCTATCCGAGCACCTTTTAAGCATGACCCAAAATTATTCCATATGGTAACTGAACTTGAAATAATTCATCAAGGTTCATGACATAGAAAGGAGCTACTGGACTAGGATACTGCACACAAAAGAAACCAGCTTGCAACACTTAATGTTGCAAAAAATCCAACGGCTCCATAATAATTTCCTAAAATGTACAGACTGGCTTTTTTTTTCTCACTCAACACCACCCCAACATA